CACTGATGACAATAATTTAGCGAAAATCTTCTCGACAAAACAGTACGACATGTATATATTCCACTACTCGACAGTCAGATTTATTTGTGTACTACGCTCTGGAGTATTCGGTAATCGACATAGCTAAAAATAGCATTTTCATTGATTAAGCTTTACGGAAATAGCCGAACATTTTTCATTGGGTAAAAAAGATATTCATCCGCGAAATTTGTGATTGTAACCTCATATTTCTATTGACTACTCTAAACGTTTAATGCACTGTAATTCGTTAAATGCATACATTAGAAATTATTCTTTCTCTTAAATTGCTGGTTTTTAAGCAGTTCTGAGTGAGAACTACTTTGCGTTGTTAGGTCTGTAAGTAAATTTTGTGTTAGACCGTGGATGCTAGCTATGTATTTACTGATCTTGCGATCAGAAAATACAAAAAGCCCTAACGCTCACTTTCTTAATCAACTGTCCGTATAATTGATAACGATTGTTTAGCAGCATGAAGCAGATGTAGTTTCCTTCGACTAGAAACGGCTTTAACTGACCGGACAATTTAATCACGATGCTTTTCTTGTGCAATAAACAAATAGACTCGTCCGATTTGAACGGGAAGCACTATTTATTTACAGAAAACAAAGAAATGATTTAAACACGCACAAATGGCATTTATATAATAGTTATATCTGCCTTTTATCTCAACTTTACTTCTTTTGTTTAATGACACTGTTTTCTGTCGTCTGCAGCTAGTAACTGTGTTTACGTAAAACTTCCAGGTATCAAAATGGCGCTGCCCATAGAACAGAACTGGCGCGCTCCATATACATTCTGAACTTCATGAAGTTTAATATTGTCACGTCTCAGTGAGTTTTATCAAACATAGTTTTTCCTTCTCACGCGAAGGAAGAATAATTAAAACAATCATGTTTTCATTTGTAGATATGTACAAACATGTATTAGAGATTATAGTTTTTTGGTAGACACTCATTTTTGAATAGCATACCCGAGTTTAATTGCAGAAGGGGGAGAGTAGAATTTGAAGTTGAAGAGATCACTTGGGAAGAGCACGGATCTTAATGTAAATTTCAGTCCGTCTATAAAGTAAGTTTATATATTATTTTTGTAACTTTATTTTTTATTTTATTTATTATTTTTTGTTTTGTTTTGATTTTACAAATAGAGTTAGTTAACACTCTTTCTTACTCACCTTTATCTTTTTTGTCATACGGTATTTTTTTTAGCCTGACCAGAGACATAGATAACATTTTATCTATGTCTCTGGCCTGACGTATCAGTTAGGGTAGCATTTGTAGTCATTAGATAAGTTATAATGTTCTGAAACTAAAAACAAAATGGCAAATTCTTGGGATGATGATGAAGAAATAAATTTGAAAATGGAAACTCAAATGTTTGGAAAAAGAGAATTCAAAATGGAAATTCAAGCATTAGATCAATATCTACGTGAAACAAATATTAACCCACATCCACATTAAATTCAACAGATTTTCTGTAAGAAACTGAATGACATTGCAACTTCTACACATAACGAAAATTTGAGAAACGTTTCCGACAGGTTTTTAACATCAGAGACTTTATTTAATACACATACGACTCTCAAACTAAACATCTGACAGGTGACATAAAACTAGAATCACATATTTTTTCAAGGTACGCAAACTTAGACTATGGGACTGAAAACGTACGGGCATAGAAATAATTCTTCTGAAAAGACAACGTTTTTGAAAAGTCAAGTAAATTACGTGACTAAAAGAATACTACGATTTAAAGATCAAGACTCGATATGTTTTTCTGACTAATACGACGGTTAAAGAGTCTCTTCTATATACTAAAACTGTCAAAGATAATGTATCAGATTGATAGATGAATCTCCTAGATTGATTATAAGCACATTTTGATGCAATTGTGGAAATAAATAATTGGACAAATTAACAGAAAGGACGTTATCTGTATCATTTTCTCTTCGTGGCGATGCTAAGGGTGTATTTGGATATTTAAGAAACAAAATACGAAGTTATGGTGAATTAGTTTAAGCCATAGAAGAACGTTTCCTTTGCCAAGAAATCAAACAGGATTATATATAGGGCACAATTTAGATATAGGAGACAGAAAATTTATATAAATTCTTTGATATGTTCTGACATGAGACTTCGAATTAAGTTGACTACATCTACACATTTATATGATGATATCAGGCATGCTGCTGAGCTTGAAACTTTCAACCCAACTGAAAGAAAGCGATTAGATCAACAAGATTTTACAAGATAAGTAAACAGGGACAACAATTACATACCAAATGATATAGATCTAGAAATAAAATAGAGAAATACAGAATTCCTAAAGAAAGCCAAACACGACAAAATTGAAAATGTTGCAGGCTCGGTTTGATTGAGCCTGTTCATGGACGGTACTGGAAAGTGCAAGTTACCGTCCACGCCCCTAGCACCGGCTTAAGCAGAAATCAACATTTAAACACGAAAATTGTGAAATTTTGTATTTAGAGACATCCGCAGATGTGTTCATACGGCGATTATCATGGAACCTTCAATGTGACACAGTAGTGCCATTCAATGAAAAGCGGCGTATGGTCCCCAAGTTAAAGAATGCGTGTGCCCTAAACGAGAAAACAATGGGCGGAACTAAATAAAATGGAATTTTGAAAGGGGATCTGAGGTTATGAAGCCTGCATATCACAGACAAGACGTCAAAAGACAAAATTAACAAGAGCTGTCACAGGAGACAGCGAAGCTCGACTAATAAAATACTAGACGCAGTAAGGAGGACAAAACTATAAAAGAAAAAAATCAATTATGTATAATTATGTATTAAGTTATAGTAAAAAAATAACATTTTATAACATAAAATCCAAGATCAAGGGGAATAATTCTAGAAATAGTCATGCTAGAGTTATGAACCTTGTCACATAACATGTGTGCAATGATAAGAATTTTATATTTAAAGTTTGAAGTAGATACCTTAAAAAGTAAAGAAGTTATAATATTTCTTAAAGAAAATCCTAAGTTCAAAGAGTGATAAATCTGTAAATATTGCTTCAAGAGTTATGAACATTGTCACATAAAATGTAATTGATGATAAGGAATAAGTATTTGAAGTTTGAGGTAGATACCTTTAAAACTAAAAAAAGTTATAGTAAAAAATAACATTTTTCTAGTAAAAAAATTTAAGTTTATGGGGAGATAATTCTTGCAATATTGGTGCTAGAGTTATGAACCTTGTCACATAAGTTGTGGATGATGATAAGGTACATATATTTGAAGTATGTAGTGGATCCCTTTAGAAATAAATAAGTAACAGTAAAAAATAATATTTTTTAAGGAAAATTCTAAGTTCAAGGGGAGATAAATCTGAAAATATTGGTGCAAGAGTTATGAACCTTATCGCATAAGATGGGGATGATGATAAGGTACATATATTTGAAGTATGAGGTTGATCCCTTAAGAAATAAAGAAAGTACAGTAATAAATAGATTTTTTTCAGGACAATTCTAAGTTCAAGGGGAGATAAATCTGAAATATTGGTGCAAGAGTTATGAACCTTGTCACATAAGATGGGGATGATGATAAGGTACATATATTTGAAGTATGAGGTTGATCCCTTAAGAAATAAAGAAGTTACACTAAAAAATAGTATTTTTTAAGGAAAATTCTAAGTTCAAGGGGAGATAAATCTGTAAATATTGGTGCTAGAGTTATGAACCTTGTCACATAAGATGTGGTTGATGATAAGGAACATATATTTGAAGTTTGAAGTTGATACCTTAAGAAATGACAAAGTTATAGTGAAAAATATTTTACTGCACCAAAACTTTAATCTGAAATCTGGACGCGGACGCGGACGCCGATGCCGGGGCGAGTAGGACAGCTCTCCATATACTTCGTATAGTCGAGCTAAAAAGCAGGCAACATATCCTAAGGGTGATTGTACAGTATTCAAGTAGGAATACTGGAACCACCCAAGTTGAAAAAGGCCAGAAAGAAGAAACCAAAAGTACCACATAACATGTATACTCAACAATAATGTCGTGCTGAACGATCTTCAAGTCGAATTTCAAACAAAATACTCACGTAAAACCAAATTTTACTCAAAATATTTAACAAGGAAAGTTGAGTTTCTTTTCACACGAGTTGAAACAACTTAAGAATTCTATTTAAGAATTGACTACTATTTTTTAGAATATTACGATTCAAAATTCATAATATTCTGAAAATAAACGCCATCAAGGTAGAAATATGCAATCTTTAAATGGTTCAAACAACTTGCAAAATAAACATTCGCCACAAAACATTATTGAAAATAGAAATAGGCCCTCAGTTACTTGTCATAGATGTATAGATGTGAACATATACAAATTACAAAGAAATTGCCCTTAACAACTAGAAATAACTAATACACAAATCTTAAAATCTGCCCAAGAGACACACCAGTCTGCACAAAGCTCAACGGGGCATGTATAAGGTTTTTACATAGATGCATCAGTAAATTATATAAATGTGTTTTGTTTGATCGTCACTGGTGCAACTCGTAATATCTCAAAAATTGTATGACATGATATGTGAGTCTTCGTTACCGCCTGAATTGAAAACATGTAGTCTTAATATTGCCACGGCATATGATAACAATAACAAATCAAAGGAAAAGTTAATGTATCGATAGAAATTGAGGTTTAAAAGGGTTTCCTTGGTGGTGTTGTTTCTCCAATTGTGACAAAAATCATTCTAGGTATTGACGATATGCAATCACAAATCATGACGTAAAAGGTATGTCTGACACAGGGTCAGTGAATATTCAAATGTCTCCCGTCAATAGTGCCAAACAATAATAAGGATATACGGTGTGGCGACACAAACACTCTTCTGTGAGCACCAACTCACAAAATAGGAAAACTTTAAACTGCTAAACATAATATAATTTCAATGTATAAAAATTTGTTTTATCGTCTTGTTAATTACCTCAAAAAGAAAAGAAACACCACGCCAATTTTTGTTAGCTTGTTTATTTGTAAACGAAGATCAACATTATTGAAGCATTAATTTACCTGTTAAATAGAATCTTTATATCAGTTATATTCAATTATAACACACATGCCTAAACAGTCCTAAATTGCTATCATTAAAACAATGTTCTAAATACAAAACTTAATATGTTGTAACAAAGTTTTCTTCACATTATTAACAGTTGTAAGACTATAAATATTATTTTATGCTTGGTACAAAAATCAAGATTGGTATACTATTATATATTCTTAAACAAATAGAATGCCATTAAAATATCTACTTAGAGAAAAAGAGCAATATTGATCCGCCAGCCAAAAGACAAACTAAAACAATTTCACTAATTCTTATGCAAGTGCTGTAGCTGGCAGACAATTTAGAAATAATGTTCAATAAACTCACCCAGAGCAGAAATTTTATAACATTTCACAAATGACCATGTTCCCCATACCACCTTTCCCCCAATGATTACATTAAAATTATGTCATGATGTTTTAAAACAAACGGCCAACGTATCTCTACATACATAGCAATACCAAACAAAATGTTTACAACACATGCAAGTATTATGTCAGTTTTCATAAGTGCCAATCAAAAATAGTGTTTTTCAAATATTTTCTTTTTATAATTTACAGCAAATATAATATACAATAAAAAAACAAATTATCATAATAAAAGAAAATCAACAAATTGTCTGTAGTAAACTTAAACATAAATGAACACCAATCCAAAACAGTTCGATATAATAAACAGCAACATTAAATATTTAATGTAGTGTCAAGTATCAGTAAGAAATCAAAAATAAACACAATAATACATGATATAATTCTAGCTCAATATAACAAAAATATCACACAATTTTATAATTATCACTTGTGTTTCATTGTTTTTATGACCATCACAGTGTCCATATTTCTCATGCTCGCAAACTTCACATTTTTATACCTATACAAGATTGTGCAAGCCTAGGAATAATATGACAATGAAAATACTTCCTTCTACTGTACAGTTTATCACAACTATTATAAGGCCATATATTTTGTGTGCCACACGCCAAAAAAGGGACACTAGCGTATGTATTATGACTGTCTGCTTTAACATAAACACTATCAAACATCCCTTTTCCTTCAAAATATTTCTTACACCCATCACAGATTTGAACATTTGGTCTTGTATGTTTTTGTCAGTCCCCACATTTACAATGAGAATATCTCTCAATATCTTCTATAGTTTCCAGTCTGTTTTTCTCGCAACATAACGTATGTACACACCCATGTATGAACACTGTATTTATATAGAATGTCCTTTGGGAAGTCTGCTAGTACTGCCGAATCTAACAGAGGATTATCCATGCTGTCTACATATTCAGGCAGCCATTCTCCAAGTCTGTAATAAAAAAAGACATTTACAACGAATAATGCTTATATTTGATCTAAGGAACACTTAGTTGCTGTGTTCACAAAAAAGGTATATTCAGTAACATCAAAGAGCCATGAAAAGGTAGATGAAAAGCATATTGAGGATTTGCACTATTTCCAAAGCTCATAAAATTATTACCTGTCAAACAAGACATGAAAAATGGGTCAAAGACAGAAAAGGCCGGGTTGCATATGTGTACAAAATATCACGAGGCTGTGATGTTACTTAAATTGTCTACCACTGTCTGACCATTGATGTTGAAAATTTAACTTAGTTGGTAAACCTGAAAAAAATGAGCATCAGACCTGAAATGGAATCCAACAATATGGGACCACAGTCATGTCAATGCTGTGAACCACATATCAAGAGGCCGTGGTAAGAAGTTGTTGAGAAAACTGTTAAGAAAATTTCCTACTAGCTATTGATCATTAATTATGTCAAAATTTAACTAAATCGGCAAACAGGAAGTGGATGAGCGACAGACCTGAAATCGAATCCCACGATATGATACCATGTGCTGATGCATTATACCAAATATCAAAAGGCTGTGATAAGTAGTTGCTGAGAAAACTGTTACGAAAATTTCTTACTATTGACCATTAATGTTGAAAATTTAACTACATCTAAGTCGGCAAACAGGAAGTAGATGAGCGACAGACTTATAATCGAATCCCACAGTATGGGATCATGTGTTGATGCTGTATACCAAATATCATAAGGCTGTGATAAGTAGTTGCTGAGAAATTGTTACAAAAATTTCCTACTATTGACCATTAATGTTGAAAATTTAACTAAGTCAGCAAACAGGAAGTAGATGAGCGACAGACCTGAAATTAAATCCCACAGTATGGGACCATGTGTTGATGCTGTACACCAAATATCAAAAGGCTATGATTAGCAGTTGCTGAGAAAACTGTTACGAAAATTTCCTACTATTGACCATTAATGTTGAAAAGTTTACTAAGTCAGCAAACAGGAAGTAGCTAAGCGACAGACCTGAAATCGAATCCCACAGTATGGGACCATGTGTTGATGCTATATACCAAATATCAAAAGGCTGTGATAAGTAGTTGCTGAGAAAACTGTTACGAAAGTTTTTCCCCGCCCGCCCGCCGGCCGCCCAACATTCACCATACTATAACCCGGGTTTGCACCAGTGCAACCCGGCCAAAAACATACTTAAATGATGATTAGCCAATAAGATATTGAAAAGATCTATCAGATCTATATAATCATTAAACTTTTACTGATGTGTAGAGGATCTACTAAATCTGTTAAGGTTTATGTTGACCAATCGATTAAAAGACCATAAAGAGGTTTACTTGTGATTGGTTGTATCAATAAAATCCTCGTCCTCCGGGTTTTGTCTGACAGCAACAACTAACAGAATATACTCGTGAAGTATTTCTACAAGCTGGTTTAGTTTCTCAATTGACAATTTCTTCATATAACCCCTGTATTCTGTCATAATCTCTTCTGGCAATTCCTCGTGGAACTCTTTTAATACACTTTCAAATGTGGACTGAAATGTTAATGATTTGTGCTCATTTAGTATTAAAGTTATGAGTTATCTACCATAATAATATAAATATAATTAACACAGTATTTATGATGTGACGCAAACCAAACACATATAGTTTATCAAACTATTAACTTTTAAGGTAGCTTAAATTTATGTATTGTACTGCCATAATTTAAAATTGAACAATCTTAAAATTTCACAGTCTAGTCAGACCTGTACAAAAACTCTCAAAGTGACCTCAAAATATATGCAAAATAAAATAATTACAGCTGCAGTTTAGAGAGTAAAAATACTTTGTCAACCTACCTCTGTGTGTTGATTATTCCCAATCATCTTCTTTGATTTCTGTAGAGACAGCAGTAACCATAGTGACTGCGCATGTCTCAACTCACACGCCTGCTGGGCCTACAATGAATTTGTAATAATGTTATTAGCCTACCATACTATAATTATTCTATAGATTTAAGTCAATTCTGAATATTTTCCAAAACTGATTTATTTGTAAACTTGTTTCCTTAAAATCATATTTTCATGTATGATATATTCAAAGGCCACATACAATAATTAATAAACACGAGGGCCATGATGGCCCTGAAATCGCACACCTGTTTATAGGCTCCCCGGGTGGGCAAATTTTAACCCAAGGGCTTTTTTTTAACAAACCTGGTAGGCACTCACTAGAAAATGTTTCATGATAAATATCTAAGCTCTAGCTCTTTGGGGTTTTTAAAAGATGATTTTTTTAAGTATTTACTATGAACAAAAATGACATCCCCTGGGCGGGCCAATTTAGGCCCATAGGCGTTTATTTGAACAACTTTGGTAGACAATGAATAGAAGATATTACATGCTTAGTATCTAAACTCTAGCTCTTTGGTTTTTTTAAAGAAGATTTTTTAAGTTTTTACTATACAAAAATTTAAGGAAAATCAATGACCCCAGGGCCGGGCCAATTTTAACCCAAGTGCCCATATTTGAACAAACTTGGTAGACACCCATTAGAAGATGTTTCATGCTATATATCTTACCTCCAGCTCTTTGGTTTTATAAAAGAAGACTTTTTTTGAGTTTTTACTATATACATAAAGGGAAAAAATGACCCCCTGGTCAGGGCCAATTTTGATAGTGGGGCTGTTTTTTTTTACAAACCTGGTAGACACCCACTAGAAGATGTTTCATGTTTAATATCTAAGCTCTAGCCATTTGGTTTTAATAAAAGAAGATGTTTTATACTTATACTTTATACAAATAAGGAAAATCAATGACCCCTCAGGGTGGAGCCAATTTTGACCTCAGGGCTTTTATTTGAACAAACTTTGTAGACACTGACTAGACGATGGTCCATGCCAAATATTTCAGCTCTAGCTGTTTCAGTTTTTTAAAAGATTTTTTAAGTTTTTTCTTTTGGTTGCCAAGGCAACCAGAGTTCTGCATGGCATTAATTCTTTGCCCAATTTTAAAGTTGACTACCAAAGGAACATTCTGTGAAGTTTGGATGAAATTGGCTAAGCAGTTTATGAGGAGATGTCGTTTAAAGTAAAAGTTTATGAACAGACGGACACCCGACGGACGGATGGCTGGACACCGAATGAAAAGCGATCACAAAAGCTGGACAGGTGAGCTAAAAATAGGATAAAGAAACTAAACTAACACAATTACAATCATAAATGTAAAGTCAGAGCCAAACACAACATTAAAATATTAGTTAGTACACAGACAACAATTCAGACACTGTATAATTGTACATTGGTTTAATGTTATGTACATACATTATTAATTAGTTTTTGCTTTGTTTTAATCAAATGAATATAAACATTTTACATTTTTGAAATTCAAATCAATTTAAGTACAATCACCTTTTGACTATGTATTGTGGTTTTCATTTGAAGTGTGTTCCCCATGAATTCATGTAAAGTTTTCTCCGGTTGACCTCCTGTAGACTTGAGAAAACTTATTGTTATGTCTAGATTGTCCAGTGATGTACAAATATCTGGTAACGTCTTTATCTCAGCACATATCTGAGTCTTAACTGCTGCACTCAAATTTTCCTGAAAGAAACCCAACATAATATAACTTGTTTCACATAATAAGAGTGCTGACTTAAATGCTCAAGAAGTAATAACAGAGTAATTTCTTTAACAGAATGCTCATGAAAATAGTAAGTTCAAAACGATTTTTTTGCTGTATTAACACTGATTGCCATTACAGAGAGTAAATAATAAATATAAAAAATATGTTTTACCTGGGGTATTTTCTCAGACAGTTTTCTAAAGACTTCAGCATCAGTGAACTCAGTTCTGTACACCATCTGGTCAATCTAATAAACAAAATAAAAAAGTCATCAACCATTTATCAAATACGATTATGCTTAAGCTGGTGCAAGGGGTATGGATGGTAACAAAAAATAAACCACTGCCATCAATGCAAAACCTGAAACCAACAGTCAAAGGTGTGATATACTCCTTGTTAGACAAGCCTTACTAGTTCCCTGTCACTATTCAAAATATAGTATTTCTGAACAAGAGGGCCATGATGGCCCTGAAGTCGCTCACCTGTATATAGGCCCCCAGAGTGGGGCCAGTTTAAACCCCAGGGCTTATATTTGAACAAACTTAGTAGACACCCATTACAAGATGTTTCATGCTAAACATATAAGGTCTAGCTATTTGTTTTTTTTTTTCAAAGAAGATTTTGAAGTCTTTGCTATACACATATAAGGAAAATCAATGAGAGGAAGGGCCAATTTTGACCCTATGGCTTTTATTTGAACAAACTTTGAAGACACTAACTGCAAGATGTTTCATGCTTAATATCTCATCTCTAGCTATTTGGGTTTTTTCAAAGAAGATTTTTAAAGATTTTGCTATACACATAAATAAAATCAATGACCCCCGGGGCAGTGCCAATTTTGACCCCAGGGCTCTTATCTGAACAAATTTGGTAGACACCAATTAGAACATGTTTCATGCTAAACATCTTAGCTCTAGCTCTTTAGGTTCTTTAAAAGAAGATTTTTTAAGTTTTTACTATATACATATAGGGAAAATCAATGACCCCCTGGGGCGGGGCAATTTTGACCCCAGGGCTTTTATTTGAACAAACTTGGTAGACACTCATTAGAAGATGTTTCATGCTAAATATCTTAGCTCTAACTCTTTGGGTTCTTTAAAAGAAGATTTTTTAAGTTTTTACTATATGCACATAGGGAAAATCAATGACCCCCTGGGGCGGGGCCAATTTTGACCCCAGGGTTTTTTTTTAAACAATCTTGGTAGACACTCAATAGAAGATGTTTCATGCCAAATATCTAAGCTCTAGCTCTTTGGGTTTTTTAAAAGAAGATATTTAAAGTTTTTTCTTTTGGTTGCCATGGCAACCAGAGTTCTGCATGGAATTAAATTCTTTGAACAATTTTTAAAGGTGACCACCAAAGGAACATTCCTGTGAAGTTTGGATGAAATTGGCTTAGTGGTTTATGAGGAGATGTCATTTAAAGTAAAAGTTTACGGACGGACGACGGACGCCGGATGACGGACGGACGGACGCCGGACGAAAAGTGATCACAAAAGCTCACCCTGTCACTTTGAGACAGGTGAGCTAACAAGAGCTTTAAGAAACATCATACCATCAACACTCTCCCAACTTCAATTCTTGACTTGGAAAACAAGAATCTGTCCATCAATTGTCTCTCTAAGGCAGCAAAATCATACTCTATCTTTGTCCCTTTACCCATCTCAAATGAATACTGGCAGTTAGCAAGCACTAAAGGTAAAATGTCATGCTGGGGGTCGTAGCTGATTAGATGTGCTGATGTCACCTCTTTGGGGTTTACACTGGATATGCTACCAGATTTCCTGTACAAAAATATTCAGGTTTGCTTATCACTACTTAATTCTGTATCACTAGCAATATTTAAGACCAATATAATAACACCTTTCAAAATGTTTAATGTTTATAAAAATAAGTTTTTAAAATATTGTTTGTGGTTTCATATCAATATTTAAATTCTTTCCAGGTTAAGTTTAAGTCACAACAACACTGTCAAGGTCTTAATGTGGCAGCAAGACGACAGCATGGCAGAGTGGTTAAGGCATCAGTCTAGTAATCTAATGATTGCTAACCGCATTTGTTCAAGCGCGGTCAGGGGCAAGTTGTTATTTTCTTGAGCAAGAAACTCTACACTTATTGCTCAGGAACGGATTTGAAAGTGTGTCTATAAGCTTATTGCTTCCTACACAATCAAACTAAAATAAATTCTGTATAAACCAAAGTTATAATGTGCCTTTCCAGCTTTACTGGAAGAACACTACAGGTGCTCCTTTGTGCATTGTTTTATGCACATGCTGAGAACACAAAATGAACCACCAATCTACTACAACTTGCTGGATATCTAACAGTCACAATGAAACTACTTTTGATACAGTGTTAATTTAAGAATGATGCTGGTTTTAATCTTGTTTTAAATTTATTTTGCTGGCTCTTTTATGAAACATGACAAACAACACACGCTGGTCCATTTTCAACAAAATTTAATTGGAAAAGTCATAAGCTTTTTTTATTGCAACATTATGTAAATTGCTAAAGTTTTGCATATGTAGCGTATGATTAAATATATTAATTTACTTCAAAGCCTTACGGTAATCTAGAAAACCGCAAAGATGAACCTTCAACCTACAACAAGCTGGCCCGATGGCTTACCTAACGGAAAACGAAAATATTTTCAAATAAGTGTTTAAATTTAAATTTTCCTGGTTATTTCACAACTAATAATGAATGTTAAAGTTTTGCAAGTCAGTGTTGATATGGTATAAAGGTATTCTCATTTACATTCAAAAACTTAATGGGGGGCAGGACAGGAATATAATCACATGTTCTATCTCTTCATCAACACATCTTACTTTATGTGATATCTCCTATTTCTCAAGTCAGTATTAAGTCAGCATTAATATTCAAAGTAACAGAAATGAGTAAAAGTAGTTACCTATGAGGCTTCCTTGAGATAATTATCTAAGAAATCATTTTGTTTTCTCATCAAAAAGTCTAACAGGACATATGAACATAGTCCTGCTCTTTTATTGTTGGTAACAGGATAGATACTGGTGTATTGTCTGTGATTGGTTTACTACAGTATTCCTTGGAAATTATCATACCACCTAATTCTGTTGGACACACTGAAACATGCAATAATCTAGCTATATTTATACTCTCTTGTTATCACACATCATGCTACATAAATTATAGTTGTTTTATTTTTATTATACCTCACCCCGATATTTATTTACGCGCAAAGCCTTATTGTGATGTCATAGAGTAACAATCCGTTATGCAACATGGCAACATCACTTCTTCAGCCTGGTTTGAGGGTTTTAGTATAATAATATAAATATCACATTCCACTGTATGTGACAACACAAAATGTCCACCTTTGACAATATGTCAACCTTGGCTAATCACAGGGCTCAGGTTCAGGTGAACATTTTGTTGTCACCCTTATTAGGATGTTATATTTATATAATGTAAGTACTCATTTCATACAAGTCCAGGTACATAATTATGTACAATGTGTGCTATTAAGCTATACAAACACAGCAATGCTTATTATAATCTTGAATTAAAATTTACAAGATATGTTTGTATAGTACATTACTCTAACAACTAATGAACATTTCTAACTCAATTGTCTACAAAGAAAAAACGCCTAAATCTTTTTTTAAAAAATGCATTAGTTTAAAGTTTTAAGAATTTTGGATGGCATGACAACAAAAATGCACACAATATTTTCATGTATAATGCATGTATGCTAATATCAAGCTTCAGTACATATTTATTTTATGTGTATACTTACAGTAAAGAGTCAATGATTCTCTAACCAAGTCCCAAGCATCAGCAAAATCTTGCAATAAGTCAAACGTTTCACCACCTGCTATCTCCTCTGTAATGTATCATATATATCATTAACTGTTGATGTTTTATCAAATCTTGCTGGAAAATCTGTACCTGTTACATGCCTTTAAAGCCCTAATTTTTTTTGTTTTTTTTTTTTGGGTTTTAAAGTCACACGGGCACAGTAATTAAATTTTCTGGAAGTTCCAAACTTTATTGGGGGAAAGGGAAAACCCCAGGTTTCCCCTCTGTGAAATTTTTTTTCAGGCACAACGGGCACCTGAGTAGAACCACCGATGTTTCGTAAGCTAGCTGGATAGCTTCCTCACATGAAAGAATCCAAAGTCCCTGTCAGGATTTGAACCCACAGCGGTGAGGGGCAAATGGTTTGAAGTCAACAACCTTAACCACTTGCCCACGGACGCCCTTTATGCCCCTAATTAATAAACCAATTGGATGCTGTGACATTGTATTGCAATTGCCAACAGTACTGTGAAGAGACAGTCTACAATTTTGCATGCAGTTTGACTAGTGTTTTTGCAGTTGGATGCAGAAACATTTCAACATCTGAATTATTAGTAATTCTTCGGCACAACAAGTCCTTGTTTCAAATTAAGCATCGTAAGGAATACTTAAATACAAAATTAAGCTTTTAAATCAATATCTACATGTGTTTTAATTGACTTTTATCTAATTTCCCCTTCCTGGACTTACCTGGGTTGTGTTTCATAGAAAGTCTCAAGACTGAAATCAGTCTTAAAACAAAAACTCAAGCAATTTTGTGTTTCAAAGGAATTGATCTTACTTACAAGTCCTTTTTGGCATGATTCTTTTATTTCTGAATGACAATGCAAATGAACATCACCACATTTTTGAATTCAAACACATGCATTGTATTTTTTTAACTTTCTTAGGAGAATGAATTTAGTTAATGTCTAAAGTCTTTGAACTTAAAATAAGAATGGTGCGCCTAATAAGTTAGTCCTAAAGCTGGTCTTAAACCGGTTAGTCCTAGAAATTGGGGTGTTAAACTAAGGGTTTTCTATTAAAGCACAGTCCTGTTCTTGGTCATAGAATGATACCAGGATCTGACCAAGGAAGGTCTTCAACCACTGATTGCTTGTCTAAGAGATAAACAATTCAAACACAAGGCCAACATTTCTACAATTTATGATACATACCCCTTTTCAATTGAGCAACAGTTATTTGTGACGCATCAGCTTTGTCTAGTTTTCTCCGATATTTCTGGAACAAAGCTCTATGTAGACGTAGAATACTGGGAATGTAACGTAGAGCTCTCAAATGATGGTCCTGAAATAAGGAAACATCTTATTTTATCTTATCTTTAAAGATGATTTAATTTCTTATTGTTTTACTTGACTGTTTAAAACATAAATATTTTTCTATCTTAAAGCCACAAACAGCAGAGGCTTAAAGAATATCTTCTCTATATTGTAATGGATAAAGGTGTTACCCACAGTTACAAACAAGAGGGCCATGATGGCCCTGAGGTCGCTCACCTGTATATAGGCCCCCGGAGCGGGGCCAGTTTAAACCCCAGGACTTTTATTTGAACAAACTTGGAAGACACCCATAAGAAGATGTTTCATGATGTTAAGTATTTACTACACACAAATAATGAAAAACAACGACCTTCTCCCCCTACTGGGCCAATTTTAACCCAAGGGCTTTTATTTGAACAAACTTGGAAGACACCTATAAGAAGATGTTTCATGCTAAACATCTAAGCTCTAGCTCATTGGGTTTTTTAAAAGAAGATTTTTAAGTTTTTACTATACACATATAGTTAAAAACAATGACACCCCTGGGGCGGGGCCAGATTTGACCCCAGGGCTTTTATTTGAACAAAGTTTGTAGCCACTTACTAGAAGATGTTTCATGCTTAATATCTAAACTCTAGCTATGTGGGTTTTTTCAAAGAAGATTTTTAAATTTTTGCTATACACATAAAGGGAAAGTCAAAGACCCCCGGGGCGGGGCCAATTTTGACCCCAGGGCTTTTATTTTAACAAACTTTGTAGACACTCACCTGAAGATGATTCATGCTTAATATCTAAACTCTAGCTATTTGGGTTTTTTCAAAGAAGATTTTTTACGTTTTTGCTATACACATATAAGGAAAATCAATGACCCCCGGGGCGGGGCCAATTTTGACCCCAGGGCTTTTCTTTGAACAACTTGGTAGACACTCATGAGAGCATGTTTCATGCTAAATATCTTAGCTCTAGCTCTTTGAGTTCTTTAAAAGAAGATTTTTTAAGTTTTTACTATATGCATATAGGGAAAATCAATGACCCCCTGGGGCGGGGCCAATATTGACCCCAGGGCTTTTATTTGAACAAACTTGGTAGACACTCATGGGAGCATGTGTCATGCTAAATATCTTAGCTCTAGCTATTTGAGTTCTTTAAAAGAAGATTTTTTAAGTTTTTACTATATGCATATAGGGAAAATCAATGACCCCCTGGGGCGGGGCTAATTTTGACCCCAGGGCTTTTATTTGAACACTGACGAGAAGATGTTTCATGCCAAATATCTAAGCTCTACCTTTTTGGGTTTTTTAAAAGAAGATATTTAAAAAAAATTCTTTCGGTTGCCATGGCAACCAGAGTTCTGCATGGAATTAAATTCTTTGAACATTTTTTAAAGATGACTACCAAAGGAACATTCCTGTGAAGTTTGGATGAAATTGGCTTAGTGGTTTATGAGGAGATGTCATTTAAAGAAAAAGGTTACGGACGGACGACGGACGGACGGACGCCGGACGAAAAGCGATCACAAAAGCTCACCCTGTCACTTTGTGTAGTACAGAGTGTAGTTTATATGAATTTATTTCAGTTTGTGTTCGAAGCTATAAGCTTATTAAAACACTCTCGAAACTGTTTCTGGAATAAACCAGTACTAAACAATGAGTGTAAAGTTTCTTGCTCATCGAAACAACAATTTGCTCCTGACCTCAGGTTTGAACCAATGCCACCAGCAATCCTTGATTTACTAGTCTGAGGCTTTAACCACTTGGCCACAACAACAAACGGTTTGGATCCCGATACTTTTTTTGCTTTAAGTGTTTCTGTTATCATATTCTAAGATTTAAGATATAAATAAATTCTCCTTTACAGTTTTCATTCTACTGTTTTTCACTGTATACGCAATAATACTATTGTTACAACATTGGGCCTCTTTAAAGGAAAAGTTTGAACTTTATGTTTCTGTTGAATCTTTTTGTTTTAAATTCTTGGGCAATGTTGTGAGATATAGGGGTTTATAAGCCCGACTCTTGGATGTCTTAGAAAAAGATGGATTCTCTCTCTCAACATTGGTGTCTGTCTCATACAGTAAACACAGCAGAGGGTCTGCTCCTGTTATAATAAAACATGCAGAATGATGACTTTAAGAACATTAAATTTCTCATGAATGTTAAAAGTTAGCTGTTGCTTTATTTAGTTTGTATAATATTATTAGAATCTGGAACCGTTTTAAATGTGAGAGACTTTATATCAAAACAAAACAGCATAGTCTTGACAGAAACATATATCTAAAACTATAATTATTTGCAGGTTGTCTTGACTCTAAATTTGGACAGTTTATCAAACTGCAACATCAGAAAACCATAATTCTCAGATAACCCAAACTTTTTCATTTATGTGAATTTTTACCGTTCTTTAAAACCAATGAAAGTCCAATACCGTGAAACTTTGCACATTCTTTATGTCTCCCTATGCGGCCATTGTTTTCACTTTTAATGAGTAGCTAAGTAATGCATAATGTACATGTTGCATATTTGGCATTTTAAAGATAATATAAGAAAACAAGAGCTGTCCAATAAGAGCTGTCCGTAAGACAGCTCACAAGACTATTCTTAGTGACTGACATGAAAAAGGATATGACTCTGTACAAAGGTAATTGAGAGTTATGGGACCTGTGGCATCATGTTCGATAATAACAAAAAGATCAAATGTGTGTTTCTACCAATTCCCTTCAGCAGTTTGAGATACCAACTTCAACGCAAAACTTAACCATACTGTGACGACAACATCCTGGTCTTCGAATAGTCAAGCTAACAACTATTTCTCTTTTTGTTTTAAGCTCAATTAAGATAGTAAAAAACATAACAGCCAAAAACACTATTAAAATTAATGCTATTGGAAAAATTGATTATTTCTTTATTCCTGAAATCATTATTATCAGAATATTTTCTGATTTGGCAATATACAGTCAACTTACCAAGTCTATGATCCTGAACCAGAAGTTGGTTATTTGTTTTCAAAGAATTTTCAATATTCTACAAAAGAGAAATGCATTTGCTATTAACAGGAGGATAAAATAACAAACTCTCGCATAAAACAAATTAGGAAAATAACATTGAAATTCACAAAATATTTTATTAACAAATAAAACAATAAGAGCAATGTGTAAGTCTGGAAAAACATCTTAAAAAGTTTAATTTTTGCATGAAAGTTATTAAAAGTACTGATGAAAAATCTTAACCCAGGGGGCATATTATTATCAATTCTTGCATTATACACAACAAAATGTATCATTGTGTCAAAATAGGATAATTTACCTGTAACAGTGTCTTTATAAATTTGGTAGAAAATGCTGTTTCCCACTGACTTCTTCCTTTTTTGGTCGATAACTGACATACTTCACCACCTACATTTTCCCCTGTAAATTGTCAAAATCTAACTTATGTATTTGTTTGTCATGTTTTAAACACAAGGTTAAAACAATTCTTTAGTCAAGCACACATGACAGCAAACAGAAACTTTACAAATATATCCATGTGTGATATGTTCATGTTTAAAACACAACCAAAAAACTGCATGCATGACTTTATTTTGTTTTGAATGACAATGCAACGAATACAGAAGTTACTCAATCCAGAACATAAACCTTGTTCTTATCGGTGCAAGGTGAAAAATAACAATTTACAGTGTCGTATGAAAGACAGAATAACTTTTGTTTTAGTAACTGATAAAAGAATGGTGATCTTAACACATGTCAATTTTTACTTTTAGACTTGTTCATCACTCTATGCATCAAAAATTTCAGGCTAAACTAATTTGGTATGTTAAGGGCTGAAGAAAGAAAAGATTATGTTTAGATATACCTTCATTATGTATCTTCATAACATGGTCTATAATTGTATGCATAAGTAACAGAACGTCATCAACACTTCTTCCAAGTGCTCTATGTATATCATCTATATCTTGTTGTATATGTGCCCATAAAAACTCCTCCACTCCATTAATATCAATGTCTGGTTTTATCAAAGACTGCACAGCCTATATAAAAGCATATACAATATACTATTAATGTCAACTTTGAAAGATAAAGCAAATGTAATTTCTTATATTCTTTTTTAAATTAAAACAATCAAATTCTAAAAATAAACAAATATGAACATATATGCATGTATAAACTTTAAAATTGATATCCATTAGTGTTTTACCTTGATTACCAATAAAGTCATAAATCAAAGCTGTTTGCTTTTTGTGTTAAACTAAAAACAGTTTTCAATGAAAATGGCCAATTAATTTCACTTATTCACAAAGTACCATTAACTAACAGAAGATTTTTATATACCTGTGGATTTTGTCCTACACCAATAAACATGGACATGTGTAGAATAAGCCTTATAGTGGCAGTGTAAGCTGGGGTCAATGTTCTTTCTGGCTCAGGACCTTGACCTCTGACCTGAGCCAGGCCAAGTATATGTCCAGTAAGTGTGTGGTCCCTCCTAAAATAATATGTTTCATGTTTTAATTTGACTACTTTTACACCTTTCATCAAAACAGTACAAAATGTAAAATATTCCACATTAAAGTACACTTATAGCTGACTGAAATTAGTTAATTTTATAATTATATACTGCATATGAATTCAATGAAAATCCCTCAAAACAGATAATAATTGTTAAAATACCTTACAGCCATTTTTCACAATATGCTCATGCAGTAAAAGTTTAACTTAACCCAATCTCTGATTAATGTAACCAGCAAGCAACAGTTTATTTTCATTACATTAACAGGGTACTAAGTGTTATCACATTAAACCTTTCCTTCAAGAGCATCTTGGCCGTTTTCATTTTAAGGCTCCTGTTACAAGTTCAAACTGCTATGAAACTATGAAAAATGCTCCAATACTGATGAAACTTGGCACAACACAAATGTTGACTGGACCATGGCCTATGTAACAGCATGCTCAATCTTAAATTTCCTGCAACATTGGCAACGGGGACGTCTTAAACTTGCCAAAAGTCACTTTTTTGCTTCTTTTTTTCCATTATAACTGATTTCAAAGTGCTGCTACTTCTCAATGGATTGAGATAGAGTATATTATATAAAAGGCTTTTCAGCGTTGGGTACACATTACCTTACAATCCACCTGAGGCCATTTTTCGTCTGTCACATGCCCAAATTTTTTTTGGCGATGAGGGGGACAGCCGCCCGCCTTCATGCCCCCTAAACATTAGAGGGCACATTTCCTTTCTGGCAACCCCTTGATGTATCATCTAAATGGAGGGCGGCGCCGAAAAAGTGATCACTTTTTTCACAACATTTATCAAACAAAAAAGTGTTTGGGGCCTAAATAGGGCATTTTTTTTACTGTTTGAGGCCTTAAAAGGGAGGGTCGAAACATGTCTATATGAGGTAAAGGGTTAGGCAGACACCTAGGCTCTGATGTGGTCATTATTTATTTCATATCTGTCTCAAACAATGAAAAGTAATAAAACAAGAGCTGTCGGAGGACAGTGACGCTTGACTTTTCGAAAAGGTCGTCACAAGGGTTTTTCATTGAGTATAATAATGCTTACCTAAATAAATACATAACATTGTCCGAAAAGGTACAAAGGCTTGTTACTTAGATGTTTTATTGAGTAAATCATTGCTTAATAATCATGAATGCATAAAATTGTCACTAAAAAGGCAAAAACCCTTCAGTAGTTATGGAAATACTACCTCACAATCAAAAACTTAACAAAGAATTTCTAGGGCAAAAAAGGGGCATAATTATGCAAAATAAAACAAATCAGAGTTATAGGATCTGTGCCAATCATGTTAGAAAATCAGTGAGAACAAGTTTGTGAAGTTTCAATTCATTCCCTTCAGTAGTTATGGAGATACCAGCTTACACGCAAAAAATTAACCAATAATTTATAAATTGAAAAAGGGGCATAAATATTCAAAAATGCAATCAGAGTCTTGGGACTTGTGATAATCAAAGAGAACAAGTGTGTGAAATTTTAATCCAATCCTCTGTAGTTATGGAGATAACAGCTTACACGCAAAAACATAATCAAGAATTTCTAAGTCGGAAAAGAGGCATAAATATGCATTAAAAGCAAATCAGAGTTATGGGACTTGTGTACGATAATCACAGAGAACAAGTTTGTGAAGTTTCAATCCATTCCATTCAGCTGTTATGGAGATACTAGATTACATGCAAAAGCTTAACCACAGGGACGCCGACGCCGACAAATGGGTGACTGTATTAGTTCGATTATTCTGCGAATATTCGAGTTTAAATGTATATTTAAGATGCATTAAAAAAAACATTGCATAATTATGTCAGTTAGTAAAAGCTGTGAGTGCACATGCCATGCAATTTAGTATAAATACATGAATGTAACTAACCCAGTATCTTGGGTATTAGTTGCTAGTAACATGCATCCTTGTCCACCTATGTCAGCCCCGCATATACACTTGGCGACTATCAATGGTTTACCACACTAAACAGTTGAAACAGAATTACCATTTACACTAACTTATTTTATAAAATGTTGTTTACAAAATGTAAAACTCTATTATATAAAGTGGATACAATATGCATACATGGCTAGTGTAAAACTCTGAAATCAAAGCCTCCCTGATACAGCATGTTCAATTTGAATTTCCTTTAAACAAGGTTTAGGAAATCAAATATAAAAGTTGCTTGATTAAAGATCTGCCAGTGAAACTTTGTTTTCGGAGACTAGTATCTAAGTAACTAAAACTGACCTTTACTCCCTATTTGATGGGATATTGATCCGCCAAAAGAAATTGATATTACCGAGCCAGAAAGGTAATATACACAGCAAATATTCTCTTTGGGTACCCACATTGTAAACAATATGCGTCGTGACGATGCGCATACAGTTCGATTTTGTGCTCCGGTGACATCATTTTGCGGTGGAGGGATACACTAAAGGGAATCTTATTTTGATGTTAAATTTCAAACCGCATCGACTTATTTATTAAATCGTCTTTCCCGGCAGGGAAAAGGAAATAAAATCATTATCTTATTTTATTTATTTTCATTATTTTTAAGTCATCCAATATTTACTTTTTATGACTTTTTTGAAATAATGATAAATTATTAAACTTACATCTCCGATCATATATGGATGACCATTTGGACAACCTGTAGATCAAACACACTCTTTCATAAGGCTGTCACCATTTATACAACAACTAATTATTAATTATTCATAACATGTAGGCTGTCATTTCTTGTAACTATGTCCCTTATCATTAAAATCATTAAATATTATTGTTTAAAAAGGAGCATAGTTATTTTTGTTTTACTTTAGTTACTGAAAAACAAAAGTAAATGACACAAAGAAGTTACTTAGTGAAAAAGAGGCACATTTTAGTGAAAAGGAAAATATGTCAAAGAAAGTAGTATTCGTCTCACGGTAGAAGGCGGGATTTTCATTAGCATTGTTCTGACGACCAGCTAATAAAGCTTCTTTGATGTCCTCCAGGTCATCTTGTGGCATGGTTGGAAGGAACATGTTCTTTAAAAAGAAAGAGAATAATTTCAAGATACAGTTTTATAACTAACTCAAAGTTAATTGAAAAAAATCAACAACTAATATATAAATTAGTAAACAATTTATTTAGGCATATAATAAAAAAAGCTCATCTTGAAATAAGTGTTTTTTTCTTCTTCATAGTTTTGAACTTCTCCGATAATTTACCCTGTATGCACTTCTTCTAGCATTATGTCATGAAATATTTAACCATTACAACATGACAATTTCTTTCAATGAAATATTTGAAACAGCATACAGAATAAAATGATTTTAGTAACATTGTTTTCAACCTAGTAATTATGTAAAATACAGTCAACTATCGTTATCTCGACATCGCTTTTCTCGATATTTCGTTATCTCGATGAAATTTTGAAAGTCCCGATTTTCTTCCTTCTTTATCTATATTGGAAATATTTGTTTATCTCGATATTTCTATTTCGATATTTTCAGTATCTCGATGTAAAATTTCAGCCCCAACAGTTATTTTCACACTATTATCCTTTGTTTATCTCGACTTCGTCCGTTCCCTTCAGACGTGTGAAAAACACAATCTAGACGATAATTGCTCAATTAATAGCGCGTGTCATAATGTCGATTATGTTTGTAACAAGTTTAGCTGTTTTTATAAAAGTTAATCTATTTAGCGTGTTGATTGACTTATGTCCACAATGAGTGAATTTCTTTTTAAATATTCGAACACTGTATCAATTCATTATGACTTTAAATGTAAATGAAAAAGTGAAAGTATAGAAACGCTATCGTTGCAATATTGTTTCACAACATCACCACCAAATCAATCAGCGGTGGAACAATCTTGAGAAAGACCCGATAAATAACCCGGGAGGATATCCGGATCAACCATATCCGAAATCCGATTCACAATATTGGTGTATTACTGAGTAAACCTCACTATGTGTTTTTATCACAGACACCCGTATTTCCGCTGGTAAACATCCGCTTATGTTACTTTGTAAAATATTGACTAGGCCTATGAAAACAAGACATGGGGATATAATAGTTCATTTGACATAAGGTATGCACATGTCTTTTGTAAAAATCAGTTTCGCCTTGTTCTAACCCTAATATGTTTATCTCGACATTTCGTTATCTCGATATTTTTTGGACGGTCCCAATGACTTCGAGATAACGAGAGTCGACTGTATACTTGACTGTCTCAACATAAATTATATCCACAGATTATCAACATGCTTGTTTTTCACATTTTCAATATGAAACTAAAATTGACATTTGGGACTGGTACTGTCATTTAATTAATTAAAAGGGTTCACTATTGCTAGAATTTAAGAAATAAATATCACAATTATCTTATCAGTCTTCAAGTGAACTAACTGGAGGACCTTTTGTTTTGTTACTTGATTTTTATGCCAATTTTGACACAGTTTTGTCATGTACTAGCTGTCTATCCACCTAACCAGTTATCCTGGGGAACTACCCAGTAAATACCAATTTCTCCACAAGAGACGGACTACTAATCCCTTATGAGTCCATTTTTTATAGTAAATCATTATTTCTGCACATAATCAGAAAGTTCAATAATAAATTACAACATACAGCACATGCCTGCGGGTTCATCATTAGAGACTGTAATGGTTGTAGTAGAGTTCTGTCCCCTTTCACATATATCATTACAGATAGATAGTGAACTATAAGGCACTGTATTCCTTGTAGGCGTAGATCTTCCCCTTCAACAGTCACAAGGTGTATTGGTACAAGCTGGTTTGTTATAAGCCTCTGCATGAAATGCTGAAATAAAATTTCACAGTCAATCTTAATAGAAATAAAAAACGCAATTCAGTAAAAGCATCCAATCCAAATACAAAATATAACCTTACATTAAAACAAATGAATAAATCAAATCAGACACCTCTAACATAGTGCTTGTCTGTTTGTATGTAAAATATCAAAACTTGAAAAGATTTATATGAAGTTTGCTACACACCTAATGTATATATATTTTTTATTCTAGCTTAAACCTGTACAACCCTAGAGTTTTGAGAAGTGGAAACGATGTAGGTAATTTCTTACATTGTCTTACACATTGTTTGTTTCGATTTGTCCGAATTTAGATTTTATATCACAAGATAGATTGTTGGATAACAAAAGAAATTGGTTAACAGAACAGAGCCTGGTCATAGTGCATGGATAAATACACCGACCCAACTCTTAATTGGTTATTATAGCTGCTTACATTTAACACATCAATATAACAAACCTTATTTTTCACTGCATTACAATCTTGCACAAACGTATTCAATGTTTCGTTAACCTGGAAAATAATGATAATTTTATATAGATACAATTTCAAAGGCCAGGTCTAGCAAGTAAGAAGAATTGTCAAAGTTGGCTTAATAGAACAATATCAAAAACTTTGTTGTCAGCAATATTACACTAGAGCTGCCATAGGAGTGGATTCCTCTATCATCTCGAAGAAAATCGTAAATATTATTTGAAATTCTATTCAGCATGATATTTTCATGCGGTGTACATACTGGTGCCTTTAGTTTCCTTTGTTGTTGAGGATACAGATAAGACCTTGTTATTTCTCTATGTACAGCAAGCTGTAACATCGGCTCTACTCTAACTCCTGTAGCTTGAAGCTCCTAGAACAAAACATAAACAAATATTTAATGTAAATGTGAAAAGATATATAATTCCTTACCATAAAGATTAATTTTTATTTACAAAAAAAAAAGAAATTCATGTGGGCTTAAAGTGATCAGCGGCGCTACTAAGATAAAAGCTGTGCAGGTTTTAATGCAACAGAGGAAATATTTGGTGGTCTGCAAGAAGAAGATAAGTTAACAAATGATCTGTGGGATTTTGGACAATAAATAGCACTATATATCACATTTTTTACCTCTAACATAAAGAACAAAAATATATTTCAAAAGAACTATCATGCTTTATTATGCCAGTTAAGTTACAATTAAGAGACAAATGTTTCAAAAATCTATTTGTATGCAATAAATGATAACATTTTCTGAATAAAAAAGTGCTAGAGTCTGTGAATTCAAGCATGCAAACCTCATCACCTACCAATGACCTGCAAACTTTGGTATTTTTCTGCCTAGGGCAAATTGTAAAGTTCTATTTCATAATATAAAGATGAAACATATAATTATACATTTGTATTTATATGCAGGGAAACATACCTGAACAGTTTCAAAAAGATGTTCAACATTTTCACCAAGGATAACCTTTGTTATGGCCTCTCTGATTCTTGTATAATTATCCCCACATATAATATATCTATCAGATACTTCCACAACCTATAAACAAAAGAAAAATACATCACTACTCATCCAAAAGCTATGTGTAACATCTTTAAATTAATATAATTTGATATTTGCAGGATATTTTGATTTGTCTAGGCTTACCAACCTTTTTATACATAGAGGATATTGAATGACTGAATTTATTAAACGTGTTGAATAAAATTACATGTATATTATGCGTGCCTCTAGCGAGTCTTTACGCTTTGTTTGTATAATGCAAATGACATCACATCAAAATATTTACGTAGATGTGCAATACCATATTCACAATGAATACTTAAAATCCTTAATACAGAATTAAATATATATCTAAGAAGTGTGATGTAAATCTTAATTTTGCAACACAAGATGGTTGAAAAATACTTCTGCTTTGATTTCCAAATATTAGACATTATCATATACCTGATCTCTGTTTGCATCTCTCATACTGATCCATCTAAGGAATGGTGCTGCATTTTGACAAATTGACTGATACACATCAATACCATAACATCTACAGAGGTGCTTCACCAGGTATATCCTGAGTAATAAATTCATTATCTTTGATTTTAATCCAATTATGGTGGTAAAATTATATAAATTTGGCATCTAGCATTATCATTTAAAACAAATTTCCCTTCTTTGCATATAATGGCTGCTATTTTAATGTTTCTTTATATACATGTAAACTCACATTTGCAACATAGCAGTTACATAACTTGAACAATAATCATCAGATCTTGAATGTAAACCAAAGTGTTGAAAATCATTTTAAGCTGACATGGTAAATTATAACAGGTATGATAATGATCAAAAACACTCAACATTTCTTATGATTTGTTGAACTATAACAATAACTTGTGTTTCTTGTTATACAATTGTTAAATAAAATATCATATAATTAAGTAATCAGTATTTTCATTTGCAAAAGGTAATAAGTTATATCATACTGGCCTCATCATGTGCCAGTTTTTTTTAAAAAAAATAGAAATGAATCAAATTTCACCTGGTCCAATTAACATTTGTTTCCTCATACAGTATTTGAGCAGCCTCAATAAGTTTTCTAACACTTCTATCAACATGTCTTGGATCTATATTATTCATGACAATCTCAGCCACACATCTTGCTGTAATAACCAGGCCCATTCTAGCACTAGCCAATCCATAGAGCTTTTCTACACTAAGCCCCTCCTTCACAATGTTTTGAGTGGCTCGATGTAATGCATCACATGCATATTTTATTTCATCAACATCTGTTCTAGATGCTTCTTGGGTAAACATGTCCTATAACAGGAATATCATTAAGTTAATTCATATTTAATTTATTTGATACAGCATTTTATTTAGAAGATTTTGCAGGAAACTATAAGCTTATAGACACACCTAGAACCAACCAGTACTGAAAGCAATGAGTGAAAAGATTCTTGCTTACGAAAAATGGCTTTCTCCTTGCAGGGTTTGAGGCCACATGGCAAGCAATCTTTAGACTATTAGTCTGATGTGATAACTACCTGAAAACTGCCACTATCAAATTTCGCTTTCCGAACAAATGCCAGTGAAAAAGATATCATATTCGCTTTTACTGAAAATGGATTCATCCATATCAGCGTATAGAAGCCTAACATGGCAAAATCTTTTAGACATAGCAGTAACCACCTGTACACACTGCCACTATTAAAGTTGCTTTGAAAAAAGCCAGTGGAACAGACAAAATACATCATAGTTCAGCTTTTTTTCTGAAAGTATGTAATCCCAATAAAGACTGTATACTAGTATTAAGCTTACCTCTAAACATTGAATGACTAGCAAGCACAGCTCAACATACTGTTGTTCTTGATCATGTGCATTCTTTTTAATCAAATCTTCTGCTTGAGTTAAATAATGGGTCAGATTTTCTATCACATTGTCTTCACTAGAAAATATAGAATATATTTAATGCAGAAAGAATCAATGAAAATATTATAGATAAATAATATCACTGTCTGTACTTAATCAATATAAGAGAGAAAAGACATTATTAATAACAATAGAGAAAAATTAAGTTCACAATCAAATTACTGGCTAAAATACCTTGTTCTCATAAGAAGTTGTAGAAGGAAAGATCTAAACACTGGGGTAGGATCAATTCCTGTGTTAAATATTGACAGATCTCTTGTACGTTGATGATCACCACCTCTTGTTGTGAAAAATATATAGCTCAGTAATTTTTCAACAACTTCTTGTGATGGGGCTGTATTATCAGCAAAACACAACTGGGATACAACATCCATGAAAAATGTTTTACATCTTTTCTGATAGTCTTTCAGTTTAGCAATGTCATTCCTGTAAAAACATAAATGTTTTAATCTTTAAAATGTGATACAGAACGTTCAAGTTCATAAAATAATTCAGTCTAAATGTCTCGCTCATTTCAATTTTATCAAAATTCTATAATTTGATTCAAAGGTCCATGTCATTTTAAGGTCAATATCAAAGTTACATTGTATTCAACATGTCGTTTTTTATCAAAAGTGTTGCCTTGTCCAGGTATAAATAAAATCAGTAATTTACAAAGTTATAACCATTTTTAGCAAAATTTAATAATAATAGATCGTGGTATTTTAAAGACCAAGAACCGATTCAGTTTATATTCATCAGAGGAGTTGCCCACTGTGTTGCTAGAAGTAAGAAGACAATCAATTTATAAGTCACAAAGTTATAGCCACTTATAACCATAAATTTCAAGCATATTACAAAAACATGCTCATCAGGACCATATCTCTGTTTTAACTAATCTGACTGGAATATACCAATGGTATGCGCAATTCTATTTGTGTTGATGGTTTTGATGATAAAATCCAACAGCTGCGAAGCAAAAGAGCGGAAATATTTTTTCCTGTATAAATACAGCATCACCAATAAAAGCTGAATGGTTAAATTGAGACATGTAAATGATATACAAATTTCTTTTTGGTATTAAATGTTTCGGATGGATTAACGGACAACACCAAAACAATCCTACTATTGTTTCTTAAGTTGGGATAAAAATGAACATAATTGGGATTTAAATTCCCAACTATATGAAACAAGTAATTTCATATCACTTAAATCAAAAATGTTGTAAGATATTTAGCACAACCTTTCTTAACTCATCATAGCATGGGTCGCAAAATACATACAAGTGCAATAGAGGGTCTTTCCAGTACAGTTTCACGCTGTCAAAAAATTACCTCATTTCTTAAAAAAGATTATTTCCCTTTCTATCGTTAAGTGAAATTATCTTTATATGAAAATATTTTCAAAAATGATAAATTTTATTTATATGTAAACAATATTCGTGTATTATAAAAGATAGTAATTAACAAGTAAACATTTTTGTACGTGGTATTATTTCATACTTCGTGAAATTAAAAATAACAATATCAATTCTGATTAATGAAAAAAATAACGATTTCTTAACACTTACCCAATGTACTCCTTCATAGCCTGTTCATTACAACTTTTTAGGAATGTTTCCACACCTGTTAGAGACTTTATCTTTTTCAAATCTGTTTCCTCACCGAGTAACTGAAATATTAAAATTCTGTCATATAACAGGGTGACAACTGGTATTATACTAGCAATGGCTTTCGGTGAAAACTAGCAATGTCTTTGAACGTTTACAAATAAAACTTTTACATCTTTATGGTGTCTAAATAACATACTATTAGACAGATTAAAATTATTCTAATTTATTCTCTCTTTTTCATTTGTACTCGTCATATAGTGCCGAAGGAACGACTGCGTCCCTAACAGCACTTTACAATTATATTTCATGAATAATTGTAAACTGTAAAACAATGCCAAGAAACAATAAAAAAGATACATGTAAATAAGAATATTGATAAAAAGAAACAAAATCCTAATTAATTATTATTTGAAAAGTCATGAATAAAAGATATCAAATGCATCTGCTTAAGTATCTAAGTTGCATACACCGAACTTTCAGCCAATAGTGGCATACGATGTGCTTACAACCCAAATGGGAACACAATATACTTACAGCCCAAAGTGATATACAAAGTAACGACAGCCCACTGTGGAAAACAATGTAATTACAGCTCACAGTGGAATACAATGTAATGATAACCCACAGTGGAATACAATGTGCTTACAGCCAACAGTGGAATACAATGTGCTTACAGCAAAATAGTGGAAAACAATGTACTTACAGCCCAGATTGGCATTCAATATGCACACAGCCCATAGTGGCATACATTTTGCTTACAGTCCAGAATGTACTAACAAGTCCATAGTGGCATATAATGCACTTAAAGTCAATTGTTGAATACAATGTACATACAGTCCATATTGGCTCACAATTTAGTTATAGCCTATAGTGGCAAACAATGTACTTACATCCCATAATGGCATACAATGTTTGATGGTAATCTTGCCTTCCTTCTCAGATGATGCACAGACATGTTCCAGAAATAACTTCACAACCATCACTCTACTCCATAGTCCTCTGTTAGAATACATTTAATCAATTTGTATCTATATTTTCTAGGTTTTACAATTATGTATTTATTAAAATCTCATTTAGATCATACTGAATAATCATGATTGTGTTTATGATTAACACAGTTCGTTTGAAGTTTTATAGTAAGCAAAAAAACTATTCATAAATTTGCTGTTTTATCTTTATTAAAATATTTCATTAACTGGTATCATGAATAAATGCCTCATTTTCAAAATTCATCTTGCTTACTTTGCCTTACGCATTAATTGGATAGTATGAGCACCATACAATGTTGGATCTTCGCCATGAAAACTGATAATTTTCTCAACAACAGGCCTGTAACGATGTACCCGACGCAACCAATGAGGCAATCCAAGTAGATTGACAAGGTCTGTACCTTTAGGGGATAGATTCTCAAGGAGCAGGCACAGAGCAGCAGAAAATGTCTGAAATGAAATGACAGCTTTTATCACAATTGTATAAATTTAAATTACCTATCCCCGTTTAGTGAATGATGCCAGACCTAGTGCGATATGAGAAAATATAGTCGTGATCTAAGTAAGCTCAAACCCACAAACCAGGTTGAGTAGCAGAAACTTTTAACGACAAGGCCACTTCTTAAATAAAATATAACTTGACATATACATGAGCAATAAAATTAAGGGTTTCAAAAATAAAAAGATTTAAAATGTTTAGTGAGATATTTTTTAGGTGGTCAAACCTATCTAATACTTTTAGGTGGACTGTCCTAAATACCTGCACATTTTAAATCTATTTACTTGTTCCATACATACATTTATTTCAACTGTTACAATTTTACCTCAATTCATCCGTTTTAATTCTAGAGAACAAACTTAATGATTTACAATTTCTGTAGAATAGACATTTAGACAATAGTACTGTACATTTATTTTAATAGCTTTATGATAATTTTCTAGGAAATAAACGGAGATTATTTCCTTAGAAATAAATGTTTATTTACTACAACATTTAAAAGCTATGTTGTTATTGTACAACTTACAAATTCGTGTTCTTTGAACATAAAATTATCAGGGTTCTTGGCTTTCAAGTCTGCAATAGTGGAGCTACATTCTGGCCATACACTGTTCATAGCCCTGAAGTATGTCAGTCTAGGTGCAAGTTTCTGGTAGGCAATATGCACTGTCACTAAACTATGTAGCAGGGAGTTCTTTTTTATGTTGTTCCCCATTTTAGTAGTCACATAGAGTACCGTCTGACAAACCAACTGTTAAAAGACATTAATTATCTGGTTTTCATAATTGAGCTATACCAAATTGAAAATTTAACAGTACTCAATATTTTAAATGTTGGATATGAGTCATATGTTTTCCATTCCCCTAAGTAAGACATATAACATGCAAATTACGCTTCACAAAGTGTAAATGCTTACCTAATAGGGTGATTAAACACAATGTCATCATATAATGGCTTCCATTATTAGACAATTGATACACAGTTGAATTGGTAGGTAGGTAGGGCGGACGGACGAAGGGACGGACTGATAGATAGATACATAGACACACAGATAGATCTACACAAAACTGATTGAAAAAGTATGTCTTTATGTTGATATATGTATTTCTTTATGTCTTTTTATATATATGCATGGTTTTGTTTATTTTTGTATATGCCTTCAAGTTTACTTTTCTGTTGTTTTTAGTCATAAAGAGACATATACCTACTTTCAGATTTTACTGTGCAAATATAGAACTTACCATGCCATACAATTCAATATTCACAAACACAAGGAAGCAACTCAAATCAACTTTAATAAAATATAATAGTAAAAGCACACTGGTAATAATTTAGCCTGATCATACCTGTTGTTCATGTTCCGACGCAGCTCTATACATGGTGTGGACAAAGTCATAGATATAATCTTGTACAGCTTCTTCTACATCACGTTCTTCTGATATACAACTCAATACTTTACCAAGTGCATGCTCACCTAATACCTTCACCAAAGCTTCTATTTCTGAGTAGACTTCATCTACTTCTACAATAAAAAGATCTTGGTGACTTTAAGGCCTTATTCTTCAGCCATTTGATAGAATAACCACTTTAAAATATAACACAAAATGACAAACAATATTCTAAAGAAAATATCCACAACTGCAAAGACAGTGTAACTTATTCAAAATCATTTCAGAACATTGGCAACAGTTTATAGTCTATGTCCAAGATAATGTGATACTATCGAATTGACAATCTTATAAAAAAGTTTTTCATCCAAGCATATACTCCGTGTCTTTTGGCATCTATATATTTCTGGCTAATGTTGATAAACTTAATATCAGTGCAATCAAGACAAAGACAGCATATATGATCATAATAAAATTATGTTTCGGAATCAGAAAGATACATTATCTACAAGAATAAGTATAATGTACATCCCATCTCCAAATCCTACGATAAGCATGAACAATATTTAAGATTTATATCATCATTGTATAAAAGTTTTATAAGCTTTACCTAACATTTATCGTTTGCCTACATGTTCAACATAATAAAATAAAACTAAACATGAAAAATAAACGTCGAGAAAATATGACAGAGTAATCGGATTAGAGAGTTTTAAACGTCGAGAAAATATGACAGAGTAATCGGATTAGAGAGTTTTACTTGTCTCGCAAGAACAGCTCTCTTCAAAATGATCTACCTTCATTGTCATGTGACTCTGTCGCTGGGTGTTTTAATTTCAATATTTCATTGATATGGTTTATAAGCAGCCAGGAAAAAGGCATTTTTGCACTAAACATTTGACCTTCACATCCTGATGTCATGACAACCACTTCTGGTAGATCACTCTGTCTTTTTGAAGAGAATAGATCTGCGTACTGAAAACAACAGTACAAATCTACTTTAAGCAATGATTGAAAAATTAAAAATACGAATTGGAAACTTTGTGTCAAACATCTATATACACATAAATAAATTTTAATCGCATCAAATTTTTGTATCTATTCTATTATGCTAAGCCGATTAAAAGTCACACTCTAGTTGTCTATATCATATCTGCCCTAGGTTATCAAAGTTAAAATGTTAATATGCCATGTATATGTCATGAGCATGTCTTCCCAGGTTGTGCCCAAACCCCATTTCGGTTTGCAAAGGAACAAAAGTGTGCCTTTGTTGTCTATATCTCAGTCAGTCGATATTCTTCCATGTATCATGTAATCATCAAACAACATTATTCTCTTCGATTAGAAAAAAAAACATTTTGGGACAAGGAAATGTACCTGTAAATTCATGGCATCTACATTCAAGTAAGTGAGCCATAGTTCTTGTTTCCATTTGAAATGTTCCTCTTTTAAAATGTTTAAGTTATCGTTCGTGTCCAAATACGCAATAATTCTTGCCAAGATTGGTGCTACTTTCGTCTCCAACTTCTGTGTACATAATTTTCTACAAGATAAATGTCTCAGGAATATTCCATATACTAGTCCTCAATTTTATTTTCTTCAGATAAATATCTATTACATGTATGAGGAATGTTCCAGAAATACCCAAAATTAAGCCATAAATTCAATAACGTTTATTAAAAGTTCATAATATAATAAAAAATATCTTAATGCGTAATATATCATATTTACAAGAAAATAAGAATTATAGCAATTAAATACTTTATGCCCACCACAAGCATATTTAAACAAACAAAGAAATGCACAAACGGCGCAGTCGGAACGTTGTCATAAGTGACGTAAAAAACAAAATGAAATGGTAAAGGAAATTTTCCGCACAGTCGTCATATGTTTATGAAAGAGCTGTTTTCCAGCAGTCTCAATGAAGACGTTTTAGAATAAATAAACGTCGCAACTACACAAATTTGCAACTTGATTGCTCATTAATCCAATGTTTAAATGTCGTGAAATTTTAGTATGACATTTTTCGGATTTTACATCAAGCTCCGGCCAAATTTTAGATAAGATTCATTTTTGTATCAATCACTTTGGTTTATTTTAAATTTCAACGAACGTCATGTTGTTTGAGTTGGCCGCTAAGACGATATTGAATGCTTTGAAATCAATAATATGTTGCAATCAAATAGATAAAGCATCAACTATTAAGCAGGTATATATTAAAAAGTGAATCGTTTCAGAATTATTAAAAAAATCCTGAATTATTCTGAATCATCCTTCATATTTCAGCAAATAAAACTATAGTAATAAGGCTCTTAGGCAACTAAGCTTATAAAGCTGGTAATTTAACTATTCATGACATTTTTTTTGTATTATATCTAGTTTAGAAGTAAATACCTAAATGTTTCAGGTTCGTTTACGTTTTCAGAAGATGCAGCTTCATTCATCAGCCAATGCTGTGCCATGTGAGCATCATGTGACTCCTTTTCTTTCAGAAGCTTGGCTGTAAGACAACATACTCCGTGTAGGAAAGATGCTTGACCTGCAAATGATTAACATTATGATAAAACAAGGACATATTTTACCCTGTGGTTATTTTATTATTTTTTTTATTTTCTTGTTGTTAAAATAAATAAAGGCTATTATTCACCCCTGTTGGTCATCTTAAACCATGCTTTTTATTATTTCTTTATGTTTATAGTTTTACGTATATTTTTCTACGAAGACAATTATTAAGCAATACCTTCAATTTGTTCTTGGTGGAGCAATTTTAAAACCAGTCCGACCCTGTCTTTATTTGTATGTTCTACCTTATCTTTCACCATAGACAATGCTGCATGCACACAGGTAAATATCAATCTTTCAACCATCAGTCTATGTCTATCATATCCTTTATTAGAACTTTCACCAACATCATCTAACTGTAGTGGGGCATGTCCTATTCTATTTTCTAAGTCTAGGTTATTTCTGAACATATTGTTTTCATCCATTACCGATATTTGTGAAGAATTTGTATCTTCTGTTCCAGTTAATTTCATTTCGTCTTCCCGCTGAGCACTTAAATTATTTCTGAAATATGTACAAAATATGTAGAAAATAAACAGTACACAAACACATTCATAGATCTTAGTGAAACCTGATAAATGCTCTCTAAACAAGTGATTAAGTGGATGTTCTATAAAGTTAGTGTGGTCTGTGAATTAGGAGTGGTCTATAAGGTAGGTAGGAGTTATCTGAAAAGTAGAAGTGGTCTATAAGGTAGGTATGAGTTATCTGTAAAGTAGAAGTGGGTGGGACTCTTTTTCAATTACGACTTGGCAATCGGATCGTTCACATCGTAATTTTAGTTTTATTAATATACGAGTACATGTAGTGATTCTATGTTAATTTAATGTAAAATGTAGATTATTCGATAAGTAAATATAGTCTGTTTTTACTTTAAAATTCGATTTGTATCATTTGAAGTAATCTGTGAATATAAGATTATTAAATAATTTCATGGTTAAGGAATGATTTAAATTATTCTTTCCTAAGTTTCTTAATTACGATATCAATTATCACTTTTCAATGATTGAATGTAGAGTGACAAACTAGATAAAGATATAATACAAACAAAACGGCAGGAGATACAAGACAGTAGAGATGTAGGTTGATTAAGAGATAAATGTTATATTGAAGCATCGGTATTTTTTTTGTTTTAAACATAACTAACAAATATTTTAATAAGATTACATGACTTAATAGTTTCAGAGGATTTCTAAATTTATAAAGTTATTCGAAGGTAACTTATAAGAATATCTGTATTTTCACTTAATAAAGGAGTAAAATCGAGTTTGTGGCAGTTTTGCCAAACAAAAAGCAACAAAAAACAATAAGACGATCAACAGAACTGGGCGCGAATTTGCTTCGTACAAACTCCAAAGGTGAGAAGCGCCGGTGGTCACCAAAGTAACAATAAACCGAGACGTGTATCGTATGCTAGTATCTACTGGCTGACGATTATTATCTCGACGGTTCGTGTTTATATCTTTAAGACGAACACGCTAAAGTTTACATTGTTCAATCATACTATTATGATACAATGGGCTGTGCAAGTTATTCAGTTTTTACATTTTGCATTTTACTATATTGCAGAATAAAAGTGGTTACGAAAAATGTAAATCCAAGTTGCGTATTGGTTAAAAAGTGCATGTTATGAAGCACTCAAGTCATGGACTTCAAATCTGCATTTGTCCCATTTTTTTTCAATTTTTTGTTTTACTTTCAGAATATTATTTTTATAGTTTGTCACGTAACTTATCATTTTCTCATTTATAACCCTGTAATTAATTTTGTGTTTAATTGAAAGTTCAACATATAACGGTAAAGCATTATTGAATGTTTGTTTTTACATCTTCAACTGTACTATCATTGAACAGATTGGATAGAACATGTATTATTTATTTTACTATGAATTTCACTTACCACATTTTTAACAGTTCTGGCTTATTTATGTATTATATCTATTTTTTTCCATTGCAATTTATTCAGTAATTTATCATTCGAATGTTCGACTGTGTTAACTGAACTTTTGACTGTTGAATGAAAAATTATGTAAAACTATATGTTCTTGAATCGAATTGTATCTATGAAATTCACAAAATGAAAACTATTTAAAAAAGATAACAATGCCCTTTCCGGTATTCGAACCAAGGTATCTACATTTATACAGCAGAACACACTCTACCACTACGCCATTTTAGATGGTAAAAGATTTATGCGATAAATAGTATGCTTTAATATAATAATTTTCGCCACCCCTATTTGTCAATATTGATGTAGACAGATAATGAAAGGAATAGCAAATTCGAGCTATAGACAAAAAGTCGAGAAAATAAGAAAAAAACTCTGTAAGTCAAGTAAGACAAAGCTTTGGTAAAATCATTTGGGCAAAAAAATGGAGATATATAAACAGATGGTCAAACACAAAGTAAATATATAAGAATCTAAATTTTAAGTATGGAAAAGAAGACTTATCAATTGAAACAAAAAGGACAGAAAACAGATCAAGGGTGCGATAGACATAAGAATACAATTTAATTGTCCTTTTGTTTAAAACAAATTTGAGCCTTAAAAGAATTGAATTACTAAAATAAAACAGACTACAAGTAAACAAAAGCTGTTGTATTTTTTAACACTGAAATATTGCCAACAAAATTAAAAATGCAGGGCATGAGTCAATCAAGGTATTCTCGTATACTATCAAAGACATGAAAAACTCCAAACGAATAATTAAAATATTCGTCAAACACTTTTATGACCAAACAAAAGACGTTTCCTGATATCATATTGACTAAGAACAAATGCATTAGTTACTTTCTGGCAGAGTGGTTAACGCGTCGGACTAGTATTCTAAGGATTGTTGACCGCGTGGGTTCAAACCCTGTCAGGGGCAAGCCGTTGTTTCCTTGAGCAAGAAATTTTACCATTCATTACTTAGTACTGGTTGGTTCCAGGAACGGATTCGAGAGTGTTTCAATAAGCTTAAAGCTTCCAACACAATCGAACTAAAATAAATTTGTATAAACCCACGGAATTTATGCAAGTAATTTAAAAGGCAAAGTGTCCAAGGAGGCACCATACCAGTGTTCCCTTGCGCTATTAACATACTGAGATGTAGCAAATGCCTGAATTATGGTCATTTATGTATTGTTAAAACCAGACAAGCTGTATCCGATGTGCAAAAGGTCACAACTTATGATAAAACATGTAAAGGAGAAATAAAATTTAAAAAATGTAAGAAACGATCTCACTGTGCATCAAGAAATATTGAGCTGTTTATTTAAATGCAGTAAAGCAAAATAACAATATCAAGAAGAAGAATATCATATCAAAAATGCAGAAGAGAAAATATCCGTCCCTGCAAAAATTATTACAAATGATTTGGACATTTTTATAAATGAACTAGCTCAAAAATTAGTTAATAAAACGGAACAAGAAATGAAGAAAAATCTTTATTGTTATCTCAGGACAGAGACAGACAAAAAGAATAACTAGAAGGCAAAAAGATAAACCTTGAAATGGTGAAGATTGATGACATGATTTTTAATAGAACTTAGTTTCTGTCCTGGAAAAATCTTAATTTAATACATACATAAAGTACATAAAATATTTTTTGCTTTATTTTTTAGTGGATAAAATGAAAATTACTAAGGAGATAATTGTCAAAATTCAGTTCGAAAGAGTACACAGACCAGGTGACAGGGTAGACAGAAAGCATAGAAAAATTGTGGCAAAATTCACATTACCTAAAAAAAAGAGCTAGTGAGAAAGTCATGGAAAGCACTTGAAAATGCAAGCTTTTATTTACATGAAAAATACCCAAAAGAGATTGTTGATAAGAGACGATTACTTACGAAGAAAGCAAAGGAGGCGAACAGTGAGAGAAAGAGAGCGTGAGTGTCCTATGAAACTTTCTACATAGACGGAACAGAATAATGTGTAATGATAAAGCGGGGATGGTTTAGGTGTTTGGTCGTGGAATGTTAATAGACTTTCAAGTATTAGAAACAGCAACAAAGACTTTGTAAATATTATTACATATACATTTGTAAATAACTGAAATAAATGATCCTTTGGAAGCATTAAAACTGCAAAATTACATGAAAATTGCAGACTCGGTTTGATTGAGCCTGTACATGAGTGATAATGAAAAAGTGCAGCATCCCTCATGCAAGCTAGCACCGGCTAAGTGGAACTCAATTCTCATCACTTAAAAGTGCTGGACTCAATGACATCGAAGGACTAGAAAAATATAACAACACTTATATCGACTGAAATAAACTCGTTGACTTGTAATGTTGATTTTTAAATGTTGACTGTAAGATCGCGGATTTTACATCGATCATAAGAGATGTTGCTGATCCCTTATTTAGCAAAAAATATACAAGTAATTATACGCAAATGTTAAGTGATGTAAAAAGGAATGGTTTGTATATGAATATATACATGCTAAACACTTATATGATATTGCATTGAAAAGATATAATATTAAAAACACAAATTTTTATAGGGAACAATTTCCTCTTTAAAAAAAGTGCATATAAAGAAGTTGTTAATTAAAAGTAGAAAAGACAAATGGTAGGAATTGCAGAAAATTAAGATTATGGAAAATTTACGATACTCTAATACGAACGAGTTTTGGAAGAATTTTAACAGTACAAATAAATCACAAAAATATATTGCGTTAGATGATGTTTAGACGCTATTGATATATTATCATCACATATATGTGATATGTATAATTATATCCTTAGAAGTGGTCATTTTTCCTGAAATGTTAATAGTTTTGAGTACGAAAAGTACTTGGATATTCTGCCTTGCAATTTAAGATATTATTTAACACAATTTATCTTTGAAAATTAAAACAGGTCAAAACGGTACCAGAGAATCTGTGATAAGCCCGACATTAAAGACAAATATCATTTTATTTTGATTTGCCCATGTTATATTGTTTTAAGGAAATTGTACATACAAATATTATTATGTTGAACCAAGCATGTTTAAAATATAAAACTATTATAAAATGATAAAAGTGCAATGCTCACAAATTTAGGTATCTGTATTTAACATGCTATGACTTTAAGAGCATCTGCTACACACATTTAAATTCATATAGCATTGAAAAGATATAATATTAAAAACACAAATTTTTAAAGTGAACAACTTCCTCTTTTAAAAAAGTGCATATAAAGAGGTTGTTAATTTATAAGTAGAAAAGACAAATGGTAGGAATTGCAGAAATTAAGAGTATGGAAAATTTACGATATTCTAATACGAACGAGTTTTGGAAGAATTTTAACAGTACAAATAAATCACAAAAATATATTGCGTTAGATGATGTTTAGACGCTATTGATATATTATCATCACATATATGTGATATTTATAATTATGTCCTTAGAAGTGGTCATTTTCCTGAAATGTTAATAGTTTTGAGTACGAAAAGTACTTGGATATTTTGCCTTGCAATTTAAGATCTTATTTAACACAATTTATCTTTGAAAATTAAAACAGGTCAAAACGGTACCA